TCGACTGCGCTGTACGAAGCCTCTCCTGAATCACCTTCACTTTGTCTAAAGCATCGTGCACCAAATCTGTACCCAATAGTCTAGCCTCATCCGGCTCAAACCAACCAACTGGGGATCTAAACCGCCTCCCATACAAAGCCTCATATGGAGTCATCTGAATACTCGACTGGTAGCTGTTGTTATAAGCAAACTCTGCAAGCGGTAGAAACCGATCTCATGACCCTCCAAAATCAATGACACAAGCGCGCAACATGTCCTCCAATATCTAAATAGTGCGCTCGGACTGCCCGTCCGTCTGAGGGTGAAAAGATGTGCTCAACTCAACCTGAGTACCCATCTCTCGCTGTACAGACCTCCAAAACTGTGAAGTAAACTGAGTGCCCCTGTCTGAAATGATGGAAATCAGGACACCATGCAAACGAACAATCTCCCGGATATAGATCTCTGCCAACCGCTCTGAGGAATAAGTAGTATACACAGGAATGAAGTGCGCGGACTTGGTCAGCCGATCCACAATCACCCAAATAGCATCGAACCTCTTCAAAGTCCGTGGGAGCCCAACTACAAAGTCCATGGTGATCCGCTCTCATTTCCACTCTGGAATATCCATCCGCTGAAGCAAGACACCTGGTCTCTGATGCTCATATTTCACCTGCTGACAATTGAGACACCGAGCTACAAATCCCACAATGTCCTTCTTCATTATCCGCCACCAATAGTGCTGTCTCAGATCCTGATACATCTTTGCGGCACCCGGATGAATGGAATACCGCGAGCTATGGGCCTCCTCCAGAATCAACTCCCGAAGCCCATCTACATTGGGCACACATATCCGGTCCTGCATCCTCAACACCCCATCATCACCAATGGTCACATCTCTGGCATCATCGTGCTGAACTCTATCCCTAAGGACAAGCAAATGAGGATCATCATACTGGCGCTCTCTGATGCGATCGAATAAGGAAGACCGAGAAATCACACAAGCCAATACCTGACTGGGTTCCGAAATATCCAACCTCACGAACCGATTGGCCAAGGCCTGAACATCTACTACAAGAGGTCTCTCCCCAACTGGAATATATGCCAAACTTCCCATACTCACTGCCTTTCGGCTCAACGCATCGGCCACCACATTGGCCTTCCCCGGATGGTATAAGATAGTAATATCATAATCCTTTAGCAATTCCAACCATCTCTGTTGTCTCAAATTGAGATCCTTCTGCTTGAACAAGTGCTGGAGGCTACGATGATCGGTAAACACCTCACAAGACACATCATACAAGTAATGCCTCCAAATCTTCAACGCATGAACAATGGCAGCCAACTCCAAATCATGAACAGGGTAGTTCTTCTCATGGGGCTTCAACTGACGAGAAGCATAAGCAATAACTCTACCCTCCTGCATCAACACACACCCAATACCAACTCTCAAGGCATCACAATACACGGTATAAGAACCTGAAGCTGATGGCAACACTAATACTGGAGCTGTGGTCAAGGCAGTCTTGAGCTTCTGGAAGCTCTCTTCACACTCATCCGACCATATAAATGGAGCACCCTTCTGAGTCAACTTGGTCAAGGGCGACGCGATAGATGAAAATCCCTGAACAAACCGGCGGTAATAACCTGCAAAACCAAGAAAACTACGAATCTCTGTAGCTGAGGACGGTCTGGGCCAACTCTAAACCGCCTCTATCTTCTTTGGATCAACCTGAATACCCTCACTGGACACCATGTGCCCCAAGAAAGCCACTGAACTGAGCCAAAACTCACACTTGGAGAACTTTGCATAAAGCCTCTCCTCCTTTAATCTCTGCAACACAACTCTCAAATGCTCCGTGTGCTCCTCCTGACTACGCGAATACACCAGAATATCATCAATGAAAACTATGACAAATGAGTCGAGATAAGGCCGAAACACGCTGTTCATCAAATGCATGAACGCTGCTGGGGCATTAGTCAGCCCAAAAGACATTACCAGGAACTCATAGTAACCATATCGGGTCCTGAAAGCCGTCTTAAGAATATTTGAGTCCCTGATCTTCAACTAGTGATAATCTGAATGGAGATCAATCATGAAGAACACTCTCGCTCCCTGAAGTTGGTCAAACAAATCATCAATGCGGGGTAGAGGATACTTGTTCTTAATTGTAACCTTGTTCAACTGCATGTAATCAATGCACATCCTCATTGTGCCATCCTTCTTCTTCACAAATAGGACAAACGCACCCCAAGGCAACACACTAGGCCGAATAAACCCCTTATCAAGGAGTTCCTGAAGCTGCTCCTTTAACTCCTTCAACTCCGTTGGTGCCATACGGTACGGTGGAATAGAAATGGGCTGAGTGCCCGGCACCAGATCAATACCAAAATCGATATCCCTGTCCGGTGGCATGCCCGGCAAGTCTGCAGGGAACACATCTGGAAAATCTCTCACAACTGGAACAAAATCAATGTTGGGAGTCTCTGCACTGACATCCCTCACAAATGCTAAGTATGAAAGACAACCCTTCCCAACCATACGTTGGGCCTTCAAGAATGAGATTACCCTACTGGGAACATAATCAGACACACCTCGCCACTCAATCCGTGGCACACCCGGCATAACTAACGTGACTGTCTTGGTATGACAATCCAAAATAGCCCCGCACGGAGATAACCAATCCATGCCCAGTATCACATCAAAGTCTACCATACATAACAACAGAAGATCCATTCGGGTCTTCAGACCCCCAATAGACACAACACACGACCAGTATACACGGTCTACCATAATAGTATCGCCCACCGGAGTAGAGACATGAACAGAAGAAACGATAGACTCGCAGGGCGTATCCAAATAATGGGCAAAATAAGATGACACATAAGAGAATGTAGAGCCAGGATCAAATAACACAGAGGCATCTCTGCGGCAGACTGAGATAATACCTGTAATCACTGCATCTGAAGCAACAGCATCAGGTCTAGCTGGAAGTGCATAGAAATGGGCCTGATCACCACCTGATCGACCTGCCCCTCTAGGGTGACCCCTAGCTGACTGACTCCCACCCCTAGCTGCCTGAGCGGGTGGTGAAGTGACTGGAGCTGAAGTCGAAGGCTGACCCCTCTGCTGAGACGGACCCTCAAGAAGACGAGGACACTGCCTCCTCATACGCCGAAACTCTCCACACTCATAACAACTCCCCGGTGCTGGAGACGGGGACTGAAGGGAACCCCTACCTCCGGGATGATTAGCAGATGCACCTGTCATAGAAGAGCCCTGAACTGATGGAGCACGGGACGAACTCTGGGCTGGAAGGGCACTGAGTGATGAATGTCCCTGATGAGAACTGTGAGACCCATGACCCGACGATGCCCCATGATAACCTGGGCGAGCTGACTAAGCCTGCCTGTATGGACGGCCTCTGTCGTGCTGAAACTGACCCCTCGAAGGAGCACCACTATAGCTACCAGATCCCTGAGGCCTCTTGGCCTCCATCTCCTCTCGCTCCTGGCGACGAACTGACTCAATCTCAATGGCGATGTCAACAACCTCCTCAAAAGTAGCACTTGACACCCTCTCCCTAGTCATGAGAATCCGAAGCTGATATGTGAGGCCATCAACGAACTTCCTGATCCTCTCTCGATCTGTTTGAACCAACAAGATAGCATGGCGAGCTAACTCGGAGAACCTCATCTCGTACTGTGTAACAGTCATATCCCCCTATCACAACTGCTCGAACTGCCTATGCAGCTCTTCTCTGCGGGACTGTGGCACATATTTCTCCAAAAAGAGAGCGGAGAACTGCTGCCAAGTAAGAGGCGCTGCACCAACAAGTCTACGCCTCTCATAAGCCTCCCACCAAGTGAAGGCAACTCTCGTAAACTGAAAAGTCATGAATGCAACCCCACTGGTCTCCAGAATACCTGCGGTGCGAAGAATCCTCTGACATCTGTCCAAGAAACCCTGGGCATCCTCGCCCTCTGCACCACTGAAAGTATGAGGCTGGAGTCCGCCAAACCTCTCCAATCTGCGATGCTCGTCCTCTGGCATAGCTGGAGCTACATAACCCTGAGCAGCTGCCACCGGCTGGGCTAATGATGCCTCCGGTGTCTGCAACCCCTGAACAACCTAATCGGGTGTGCGGGCAACGGGAGTCTGAGTGCCTCCCCCAGCCTGAGACGTAGCTGCGGCCGTAGTAACTGAGACCGCCTGAGCCAAACCAGTGCACACTGATAGAATCTAAGCTAGAGTCTCCTGAAGGCCTGGAATCACAAGGCACAGCCGGTGCCTGAGCTGGTGCTACTGGAGCGTCCGCAACTAAGACCTGACCCTGAACTGGGGCGGCTGGTGGATCTGCAGGTGCTGCCCTAGCTGCTGTGCGGGCTACACCCCTGCCCCTAACACAGCCTCGACCGCGTCCTCAGCCCCTAGTGGCCCCAACTGGTGGTACTGGTAGTCGTCCATCCTGACCGGTAGCACGTGTCCTCACCATCTGTGAGAGAATAGAACAACAAAAGTTTAGTACTAGAATCAACAGATTCGCATGACAGGAATTCAAGAATGAGATGTTTTTCCTAAAGGTTCTGCAGCCTCCTGAGGATAAATACAGACGTCTCCGTACCGATCCGCGAGACTCTACTAAACCGGCTCATGACTCGCGAGACCTATGTAACCTAGGCTCTGATACCAACTTGTCATGACCCCAAATACCCCAGTCGTGATGGCGCCTATCACAATACTAGGCAAGCCAACCCAAACAATTAATCACAGTAAATTCCTTTTAATAAACCATTTTCCTAATACTGATTAAGCTTCAAATTTGCAAGAGAAATATTTAATTCACTGAAATGTGCGGAAAGACAGTATAACAACAAACCAAACACAGCCCAACCATCTGGTGTCACAAGTCTAGAGCCTATAAATATAACCAGTCCGACTGTCTAATACATGGTAGTCTAAAAATGCGGAAAACAAGGATAGGAAGGAGGAAAGCAGGCTGCGGACGCCGTGCAGCTACCTTGCAGTCTCCGATAAGCTCCGAAAAATGCTGGGAACCCTCACTCTGCTGCTCGGGCACCTGAATCTGCACACAAGGTGCAGGGAGTAACGTGAGTACGCCAACTCAGTAAGTAACTAAAGTAAATAAGGTCTGAGTGCAGTGAGGAGCAGTTAAAAATCAAGTAAAAGAGCATACAACAGAATATCAAGCTAAACTCAACAGTTTAAACAGCCACTTACTTCGTAAAAGCTTCGGTTTCAATTGAAATACTTGAAACCATTTACTTAACAGCTTTCAACAGAGGCTCACTATAAAAGAAGAGTGAAATCAGCAACAATGTCATAAATGGGCCCCTCGGTCAAGGTACCACTCATAAACTATGGCCTCTCAGTCACTCGTGACTCAGCTCTCATCAAACAGTACTCACACTTAGCACTCTAGCTCAATAATATCTCATAATAGGAATATTCATATAATCGTTGCGGCGTGTAGCCC